ATATATATATATATATATATATATATATATATATATATATATATATATATATATATATATATTTTATCAGCAGCGAGTCGTCAGAACTCCAGTTAGTTGACTCAACATTAATTAACTTCAATTAGTTTTAATTTTTTTCCGGTGGAGGGTCGTCGAAACTCTGATTAGCTGAGTGAACATTAGATAAGTTTAACATTAGTAGAAAAAAAAATTCCTTTTTTTTTTGGAAAAAACAGTATAATTTGTTTTTTTTCCTGCCGCGGGTCGTTGGAACTCTAGTTAGCTGACTCAACATTAGATAACTGTAAACAATCCATTTTTTTTCTTTTAATTTTTGTCTGGTGGATGGTTGTCGGAGCTCCAATTAGTTGACTTAACATTAGTTAACTTAGACATTGGTAGATTTTTTTATTTTTTTTTAAATAATTTTTTGTTTAGAATATATTTTATTTTAATCTTTTTGTTTTAAATTGGCATCAACTAATGTTAAAGTTAACTAACATTGAGTCAGTTAACTGGAGCTCCGAAGACCCAACACCGGAAACAAATTAAAAGGGGAAAAAAAGATAATGGAAAAAAAAAAGATAAAAGGAAAAAAAAGTTGGAATTTCAAATCTCAACTAATGTTGAAGTTAACTACTGCTGAATCAGCTAATGCAAGTTAACTAATTGGAGTTCAGATTACCTTCTGCCGGAAAAAGAAAATAAAATATAAAAATGTAATGTTAACTAATGTTGAAGTTAACTAATGCTGAGTCAGCAAATCGGATTTCCGACGACTCGCCGCCGGAAAAAAAAAATCAAAACAATAAAAAATGTATTGTGAGCAAATTGAAGTAAACTAATGTTGAGTCAGCTAACCAGAGCTCTGACGACCCGCCGACGAAAAAGAAAAGATAAAAGAAAAAAAAATGCATTGTCAACTAATTGAAGATAACTAATGTTGAGTGACCTAACTGGAGCTCCTACCATCCAGGCCACCGCCGGAATAAAGAAATTAACAAAAATAAATTAACAAAAAATTAAAATAAAAATAAAATAATTAAATTAAATTAAATTTTTTTTACAATCAATAATAATAATAATAATAATAATAATAATAATAATAATAATAATAATAATAATAATAATAATAATAATAATAATAATAATAATAATAATAATAATAATAATAGTAATAATAATAGTAATAATAATAGTAATAATAATAATAATAGTAATAATAATAATAATAATAATAATAATAATAATAATAATAATAATAACAATAA